TATTGCAACAAATTATCAAATGAGAAACAAATAAAATACAATCGAGAAGTAAATAAAACCCTAAGCAAAAAATAATTAAACCACTAAAATAAACATACATCTTACTAACTTTCATATTTCACAATGTATTTAGTTATCATGCATTTTCAGGACAAGACTTCATCTCACCTTTCCTGCGTGGTGGAGGGTGGAGGGCTGTCGTCTGACTGTTTCGCGTCCCATTGTCACGTGTCTGCATTTCCCGGGAAAATACATCCACTGTCGCAGACGTGCGTAAATGACGTAGTTACGTATTTGGATTTCACGTTGCAATTGTGACTATTTATTTGACCGAATAGAAAACTCTCTGATGACAAGAATCTTTTTTTTTTTAATCGCAGTAGTGTTTCTTCTTCTTCTTCAAAAAAAAAAAAACTGTCGTGGATCAAGTCTTTCTAGTGGACAGAGCACATGATCACTTGTAAACGAACTCACCCGACTCGAACTAGGAACCAGTGCGCATGTCCGAACAAGCACAGGTTTAAAAGAGCAAAAAATGCAAAATGAGCAACCTAGATATCTTGAACAGACATCTTATTTTCTACTAATAGCATTTATTAATCAAAATAGTAAACTGATGTATGCAAATACACAGCAGGGCTGATATTCAAGCTGGTATAATATGTCTCTACTTTTGGAGTCTGTGTTGTTGTCAATTTATTCGAGTTAAGATGGGGGATGGGTGTGGATTATTTCGAGGCTCTAAATTAAACTTTAACAAGTACTTTAACAGCATTATCTTCTTTGTATTTCTTTCATAAATTAATGGTATTTTACATTACAGGGCGGAGAAGCTAATAGACCTTGTAAAAGTGCTTTAAAAACGCATAGCCACGACAGTTTGTGATCTTTTGAGCAGCACTTCTGCTTAGCTATCTACCTGTAACTGTCAGTCTGTTAGTTCAGCCAGAGACAAGTTCAACTCTCTGTCACTCCAGTCAGTCTCAGTGCTGTGGGGGAAGGGCGCGCGCGCGATCAGTCTCTCTCAGTGCTGTGGGGGAAGGGCGCGCGCGCGATCAGTCTCAGTGCTGTGGGGGAAGGGCGGCTGATCACAGTGTGAGCAGATCTCAGTCAGACTGACAGTCACAGGCAGAGCTAGGGTTAGGGTTAGGGTTAGTGCAGATCCAATGGCTTTTAAAATCAAATTAAGTACAAAATAATTATGTAAACAAACATTTAAACGTGTCAGCTTGATTCATGATTCTTTTAAACACTTTTTTTCTTTTGTATGACTATATGTAACTGCTCTGCCCCCCCCCCCCCCCCTCTCTCTCTCTCTCTCTCTCTCTCTCTCTCTCTCTATCTATCTATCTATCGATTTATATATATATATATATATATATATATATATATATATATATAGGCTATATATATATATATTGAGAGATAGATAGATAGAGAGAGAGAGAGTGAATGTATGCTGTAACTGCTCTCCTCTATAAACAGTTCTTATCAGTCGCTTTGGTACATTTCTTGAATCATCCTTAAGATTTGCAAACAAGGAAAGTGCATTTCGTACAAACAGCAGAACACAATAGGATTACATGACAGCATTTTGACATTCTTGTTTGTGACACAAGGCACTGATATGTTCATTGATATATATTGTACTAAGGATTTTTAACAAGTTACAGGCTTTTGATGGTTGTCAATATAACTGTATCAGTATTTTGAGAAGTAAACACTGGCTACGATTTTGATGACAATGAAAAGACTGCACATTATCTGTATGACACATAAACACATGTACCCATTATGAGACTGGACTCACAGATACACTGTTGGTCTGTTAAAAAATGACAATGCCATTGCGATGAACAGACTATTCAAACACATACTGTATATGTGTGTGTGTTACATTATGTCTCTATCAAGTATATTTATATAGCGCTTTTCACAATATAGATTGCATCAAAGCAGCTTCACAGTATCAATCAAAACATAATAACAATGTTCGTTTCTTAGTGGAAAAACATCCACGTTTGGTAGAGCTGATCAATGGTATTAATGATTGGTTAATTAATTTGAATATCCCCAACTGAGCAAGCCAAAGGCAACAGTGGCAAGGAACCGAAAAACTCCATCAAGTGACCCGATGGTGTCCTAAAACTCCATCAGGGACCCAATGGAGAAGAAAAAAACCTTGGGAGAACCCAGGCTCAGTGGGGGCCAGTTCTCCTCTGGCGTTTATGAACTAGAGGCCGGATTTACAGTAACTGCAAGGTAAAAATGTATATGAATGTCTCTAAACAGACTTTAAACGTGAACCTGTGATTAACGCTGATGGCGTTCACATGCGCATTAAGAATTGATTCTATAGTTATGTGCGTTTGAATATATGTGCGTAGGTTTGTATTTCCCTAGAAAACCATGCCTGAACAAATTACTTGTCTATAAATTTGATACATAATTTTGTTTTATTTTATCACTTCGGGGTAGGTACGCGAAACTAGATTCACAACGCTTTATCTGTAGAGTTTATTGTTTATTGTTTATTATTTAGATCCCCATTAGCTACTCCATTAAGCAGCAGCTATTCTTCCTGGGGTCTTAACAATTTTTCAACAAAATATTAACATCAAGGCTGTACAACAATGAAGACAAATACAGAAGTGCACACAACATCATTTAAGATATCTAATTAGTGGGAAAGGGATCTCTATCACGTATTTTTACTGTCTCATGTAAAATGCAAGTAGACTCCACTGTAATACAGTAAGTCTACAGCTTATGGTGAACAGTACAGTATAGTGAACACTGTCTGATTACACGCATGTTCTGTCTATAAAGACTTGAATGTTTGAGGACACACACGGTTGTTCTCCCAACATTCAGCTCAGCTTTCAACCCGCCTCGGCCATGAGGTCATGAACATGATCTACAATATTGGCCCCTATTTCTTCAGAAACCTACAATCTCTCTGTTTTACCTCTGTATCCTTCCACCACACATCCTTACTCCTCCTCTTCTTCTTCTCGGCTGTTACCCTGTTGTTCTTCCATTCTCAGAGTGTGTATGTGTTGTGCTCTGTCTATATGGCTTCCAGAGGAAGCTTCATGAGATGCACTCTGAGCGATTATAGAGAACTGGTGATCATTGATTGATCTAATGCTTTACATTCCCCTTCATTAGTGAAATTCAAAATTCACATCTGCAATTCAGGACAAAAAAAGTATAATAGAATTGTATAGAAAATATGTTTGACAGTTTATGACAACTAGTAATTTAATGCCTATATGTTTTGAGGGGTAAGACTATTCAACAGAGAACCAGTATAATACATTTTGATCAACATGACATAAGCAATTGATAATGTAAGAAACAGCAGACACTTACATTTATTGCATGAATGTACCAAAGCATTTGCAATTTGTTCAAAAGAATGATAAACTGCTTTCATGATGTGCACAAGTGACTAGATGATGTGGAGGTTGAACAAGAATTTTAGTTGTGATTTGAGAAATGCACCAAAGCGCCTTAAAAAAACGTATGTAATTAGTGTAAACATTTAATTAATATAATAATATAATATGAGAATGTTTCATGCAGCTGCTCTCCTCTATATAATATAATATAAAATAATATAATATATACTACAAAGAGAATGTTTGCTGTAACTGCTCTCCTCTTTATATAATATAAAATAATACAATGCAATATAATATAATAAGAATAATGTTTGCTGTAACTGCTCTCCTCAATATAATATAATATAATATAATATAATATAATATAATAAAGAAAAAAGTTAGCTTGTTTGCTGTAGTGAATGTGTTGCTGTGGTAACTGGTAACGGAGTCCTGTCCTGCTCGTGCGGGGGGTGGGGGAGGGGCGGTGGCCACTCAGGGAAATCACTGATATTATGAGAGGAAACGGCAGAACGCAAAGTAGGAGAAAACACTTCAAACAAATAAAATCACTCATAAAAGCAAGCGATTTAGCATGTTTTCACATCTTTTGGTGGCTTGTGTGTTTTTATTAAACAAACTTGGATGAATAAATCATCACATCCATATTGACAGATTTAAACAGCTGTTCCTCCGCTTTTGGAAGAAAATATGTACTTTGTAAATTCACATGACGTAATGTCTCTGTCTCTTCCCCGCTTCAAACTCGTTCCTACATGATTAATAAACTCCTATGTAAGTTACTGTACAGCTGTATAGTCTCGGTGACGCGCAGCAGCGCGATCTTCACACACACATAACGTTACACAGAGCAGACTCCGATGCGAGAGCAAAACTGCGAGGATTAAAGTTTAATAACATGCCCATATACATCGTGAGAGCTCCTGCTGCTCAGGGTAAATTAGTCTATTTTTATTTAAATAATAATTATTGCGAATTTATCTATTATTGAATGTGGATTATCTGTCAATTCATTCATAATAATGATATCGCCTCCGCTCCGCCATTTTTGTTGATGACGTGATGGCCTCAGATTGGTCAGATCATTAAGTCCCGCTCTCATAGTGGCTTCCTGCGCTCTGATTGGTCAGAATCCCCGAAGTGTGTATCTTTTCCGGAAGTGCAGTACTCCTAGAGGGCGCTGTGTTATACACACTTTAGTGGGGGGGCATACACACTTCACATACACAAATCACTTAAAACTGATTTTTTGGGACAAGTGAGATTTTAAGTCTGGACACCATTTTAGAGTATGCTGAATGCCATTATATAGTCAAACAAATGAGGACATACAAAATGTCCTCAATTTTTGAGGTGGTCCTCAGTTTACTGGTGTGTATCCTGGTGAATGTACCCAAAAGGGACATAAACAAACACACACACACACACACACACACACACACACACACACACACACATATTTATATTTAAGCATTCCTCACAACAAGACTCACATGGCCATTTCGGTCACTTAGACAACATCACATGCTCTTTTATGTCTTTAATGGTGTATCTTTCCTTTCGGTATATGTGTGTGTGTGTGTGTGTGTCCAGGATGAGCCTTTTAAAGTCAGTATGGACGAGGACATCTTGCCCAAAGACAAGCGGCCAGTTGCAACCACGCCTATACCTGGATCACCATGGTAACTACCCGTTTTGTCTGCACAGATATGATTGTACAGCTCACCATTAATCTGATGCATCTTTATTGATAATAAATGACTCTCCGCATGCAAGATAATGACCAATCGATTGTTCTCTCACAATTGTCTCAGTGTCAACCTACACTTTAAAATGCCACTATTGTAGTTGCAGTGTTTTTCTCCTGTGTTTTGAAATGCTTTAATAGCCACTTTGTTCTTATATAGTGATATAAAGATGTTTGTTTTATCTCCTCTCATTCTGTCATAAATGTCAGCTGCTTTAGCACCCTTTAAATGATGCATGCTGCTGTATAACTGTTTGATGACAGTAATACATGCTTGGATAAAATACAGCAGTGCACATGGCAAACTTCCAACAGATGCTGTGACATCCAATCGAAAACCTGCATTAGGACAATGTGTTATGCAAGACATCCATTTCTCTCTGCCAAAGCAGTGTGGGCTTTTCCGTCCCTGCAAACAAACACACAAACATACACATACACACACGCACAGACATTTTTGAAACCCAGCCGGCGTCATGGCTTATGGCTTTTAGCTTTTGTTGACACACACAAACTGGCTTGAACTGGTAAATCTTTGCTTTTACCATGTGGTTGATGACACCAGCTTTGCTGAATTGGAGCTGTTGTGTGATTATCCAGATATAGATGCGGGATTAGATTCCTATGGTGCATAAAACCCATTTTAAAGTCAAAGATCAAGTGAGATCACATGATAATGACAACATGGCGAATGTGCGTCCGGATTACATTCATACTACAGACATTCATACTATGTTGAACATAGTTTTTAAGCGGTCGCAAAGTAGGTACTTATTCTAAAGGAGTACCTACTCGAGAGAGTATGCGATTTCGGACGCAGCCTGTTTTGAACTCAGAGGTACCAGTTCATAAGAATCATTTGTTCGTGAATCAGACTGTTCTTGCTGTTTGTTGTTGTTCTGCGCAGCACATGAGGACAAATAAAAATTTATGAAATACCGCCATTATTTCGCGGTACAATGCCTTTTTATATGAGGTCTTTTGCCTTGGGACTGTAAATTCAGCAGCAGGGTCCGTCACCACTGATAACCGATAGAAGAAACCCTGGTATGACTAAATGGTCGATCTTGGGATTTTAAAGGCCCGTTCACACCAACAACGATAACTATAACCATAACCATAAGTATACTAGCGTCCACACCAATGCAAGATATCATGCTGTTTATTTAAATGGGGGGGGGGGGGGGGGGGGTTGCTGGAGTTTATCGTCTGCTGCTTTAAAGGGATAGTTCACTTTGAAATTAATTTTTGATATGTTTTAGCTTACCTCAAGGGCATCCAAGATGTAGGTGTCTTTGTTTCCGCAGTATTTTCAATTTTGATATTTTTAGGTCAAACCGTTCTTGTCTGTCAGTCATATAATGCAGTCCTATGGGGTCCACCTCAAAGAGCATGCACAGAGAAGTCCAAATTAAACATGATTTAATGACTCGTAAATGTAAGTACACATTGATGGCCTAAGACACGAAACGAGCGGTTTGTGTGAGAAAACGAACAGTATTTATATCGTTTTTACCTCTTGTAAACACAGCCACATCCAAGTGATCTGAGGGCGCGGGCGGTTCGGTCTTTTCCGGAAAGCGCCGGAAGTGAAACCTTGCGCTTGTACGTCACTCATTGTTTACACAGAGCAGAGATTGTAAGACGGCTAATTAAAAGGGTACTAATTTGCGATGTTTAAACCGTCGTAAAAGAAAACAATTCCCAAAAAATTAAAAATAAAACAATTGTGTGAGTGACGTACACGCGCGAGAGATCACTTCCGGTGCTTTCCGGAAAAGACCGAAGCGCTCGCGACCTCAGATCACTTGGACCTGGCTGTGTTTACAAGAGGTAAAAATTATATAAATACTGTTCGTTTTCTCACACAAACCGCTCGTTTCGTGTCTTAAGCCATCAATGAGTACTTACATTTACGAGTCATTAAATCATGTTTAATTTGGACTTCTCTGTGCATGCTCTTTGAGGTGGACCCCATAGACCTGGATTATATGACTGACAGACAAGAACGGTTTGACCTAAAAATATCAAAATTGAAAATACTGTGGTCACAAAGACACCTACATCTTGGATGCCCTAAAGCTAAGCTAAAACATATCAAAAATTAATTTCAAAGTGAACTATCCCTTTAAATGCTCTTTCAATCAGATTCTGATTGGATGTCAGTGTTTTTATCGTTCATTGGCTGAGGGAAAAAAAATAGTTCTGAAAGTGATTCCAACGATAACGTTAATTTGTGCGGTTATCGTTATAGTTGTGGTGTCTGCAATTATTTTATATTTAGAATGATTTTTAGAACTATATCTTTACTGTAATCATTAAAGTTATCGTCCTTGGTGTTAACAGGCCTTAAGAATGAAGATTAATCAATGTATGTCAATTGTCTCATCTGTGTCTTTTTTATTTTAGGATAAACTTTGAGATGGTAAATTGCTCCAATAAAGTTGGATAGTGGCACAGTCACAGTGTTTGGAAGAATTGAGCTAGAAATAGATTATAGTAGGCCTAGTTCTGCATAGTTAGCTGAGACAGATATATAACACAAAACAACCTCTGAGCAATAAAATGGTCCTTTGTGTAGAATAAAATAGGGCTGTACATTTTGTAGTTATTGTTTTATATGGAGGTTGCATCGACATGATTTAAAAATTCAAGAATCTCTGCAAGGAAGGACAAATGAAGCATGCGACTAGCACCAACCATATGTTTGCACTATGATTAACTGCATATGAGCAGAGCGGATTCGCCGTTTCAAAGATTTTTTAATATCATTGGGTCAGTTTTACGGTACAGGAAGGCACTGCCGATCTCCCTGATGCGATTGGGTAGCAAAATGAAATGTCAGGATTGGTTTGTCATGGTTGGCATGAGGTTGTATCAAATTACCTCACAGACTACTGCAGAATCCATGAATACTTTATCCGACTTACCCTGAAATGGGTCTACAATTATCACTGTAAGGTATGAATATCTAGTGCGGAACGCCTGAAAAATTGGTCACTTTCGGATTTATGACCGGAATCTAAAACCTATAATAGGCTTGTAGATACTTGATTCTTGACATATTGCGGATTTTATCCATTTAAAAATATCTTGTGAAACAGCTTAAGGATGATTGTGAAAAAATAAATAATAATTCAGCCCATCTGGTTTTAGTGGTTCTTAGCTCTCATGTTTGACCCTGAATCCTCTCTCTCTCTGGGTCACTTTGGTCTTGATGTTTGATGCTTGGTGTTTTTCTTCATCAGGATTTCTTAGTCACTTTGTGAGAATACCACTAACAGGCTGTTGGGTTGTGTTTCTCTCTCTGTGTGTGTTAGTATATAAAAGCATGACAACATCTCACTTTTCTCTAGGTGTGTGGTGTGGACAGGCGATGACAGGGTGTTCTTCTTCAATCCCACCATGCATTTGTCAGTATGGGAGAAACCAGTGGATCTGAAAGACCGTGGAGACCTCAATCGAATCATTGAGGACCCGCCACATAAACGCAAGAAAGGTGAGACTCAATGATTCTGGCCAGAAATAGTAGACTATTCAGACATATTTAACATTCTCTTTTAAACATACCATGATTTGGGACGCATTATTTCCAATTTTAGATACAATTTAGGATAGATAGTGTACGAATTAGTATGCAGGCAATGTGTTTTCTGACCTATTTAATGGCACATTTATTTGTAATTGAAATTCAAATGGCACAAACAAAGATAAATCATTGGAACTCTTTATATAACTGAATTTAATTATCAAAATTGTAGCAAGTATGAAATATATAATGAAAACATCATTATCTTTAGAAACCACACAAACAGAAACTGTTATGGAAGATTCAGTAAATGTGGTAACTGTGTTTCTAATTCAATCTCATTTCAACCTGTGATTTCCATGAACCTGTAATAAGGTAAAAGTGTTTACATTTTAGATGCTTTAAGTATACTGATATTGTGTTTCAGTGTGTATCCAAATTCAAGTAAATGTAAGTGTTCAGAAGTTTGGGGTTAGTAATATTTTTTTGTAATGTTTTTGAAAGAAGACTTTTATGCTTACCAAGGCTGGAAAACATATAAATGTGAAATATTATTACAATTTAAAATAACTGTTTTCTAATTGAATATATATGATACAATTTAATTTAATTTCAACATCATTACTCCAGTCTTTGGTGTCACGTGATCCTTATATCATTCCAACTTGCTGATTTGCTGCTCAAGAAAAATGTAATATATTATCAATGTTGAAAAGAGTTGCACTGCTTAATATTTTGAAGGCGTGATTTCAGGATGAATATAAAGTAAAAAAAAAAAAAACAGCATTATTTGAAATAATTGTAACATTATCTTTCCAATGTAATACATACTTGCTGAAGTAGTTGTAACCCCCCCCCCCCCCCCCCCCGCCACACCCCCCCCCCCCCCGCCACACACACACACACACACACACACACACATACACTTTTGAATGGTAGCGTACAGTACTTGCTAATACTAATGAGATCATGTTGGCAAGTCCTACTGCCTCAAGGTAAGAGTCATCTGAGTTGCTGAATCACTGAAGTGTAACTCATGACTGATACAGGAGCACTGTAAAATGAAGAATTTGACAAGGGATGAAGTTTAATCCTAACAGTGTGATAATGATGCTCAAGCAAAAGTTTAATACACACACCAAAAGTGGTGTTCTCGTGGATTACCTAAAAGCAGTAATCCAATGAAGCGGCTCTGCAAATATTGAATTAGTCTGGATCTTGTCTGGAAGTTATTATATGGTTGGCTTCATTTCACAGAAGGCTTTTCATCTTTATTGATTTAGTTTTATTGCCGTTTCATGGAGATTATTTATTGATGACCTTAATCTATTCGAGTAAATTAGTTCTCATTGTACTTTTCAGACGAACAACCTGGCATGATCTATCAATACAGAACCTCAAACAGCTGGTGTTGTGTGCATAAATAAAACTATATATTTTACTATTTAAAAAAACTATATACTTTGTAGGATATATTAATATAAAGCTTGATTTGTTCCATCAATAGACGACGACTCAAATTCTGCTGATGAAGATGATGACGAGGATGAAGAGGAACGTAGTTCAAAGACCAAGCGCTACAAGTAAGTTGGGTCGAGCCATGTAAAATATGACAACAGATCTATCTTGAGTCTGCTTTAACTGATCGGGAGGATATAGTGTCAGATGTGCTGTATATGTCACTCACCTTAATAATCGCAGCTCAACAGGAAGTCTCTGATTTGTGGTGGGCAACATCTGCACTCACAGCTTGATGCAAATTTCTCAATCTGTCTCTCTTGGTGATGATTTAAATCCAACAGTTGGGTGTTTGATGTATGTCCATATGTCTACGTAGAGACAAGAACACAACCCTACACTTTACATTTCAATAAGAATTTTGAGAGGTTTAATATTTATTTTTTACATTAAATATTTCATTTATGGCAACCGTTTTTCTTTTCTTTTTTTTAGGGGTTGCAGTATATGATATAATTTATTCATAGCAAAAAAGACAAAGTGAGAACTGATGAAATGACATGCATATTTAATTTACGCAATATTTACTGTAATTATCCATTGACAAGTCTTTGGTATACACTTTTAATAATAGTTTGGGCAGAATCAATGCAGTCTATTGGACATTACTTCATAAGCTTTTAACAGTAATTAAAGCTGTTGTATTATGTCTCCATCGCTTTAAAGACTGGACCATCCTGATGAGTGTGATGAAGGAAAAAATGGATCATTACCGCTGGAGCTCCGGATCGGCCATTTCAGAGACATGCTTCTGGAAAGAGGGGTGAGAAATTCAGTGATTTTGGGACAATAATGAAACTTCAGTCGTAAAGGAATAAAGGAGATAAAGGTTAATCCAATAGTTAACCCAACAGTGAAAATTCAATGGGCCATAATAATCTTACAGATGGAGCAGTTTGTAATGAAGTGGGTGATTGACATGCGTTTGTTCTGTGTGAGCGTCAATCATCCCGTGTGTCTTGAACAGGTGTCTGCATTCTCCACCTGGGAGAAAGAACTGCACAAAATTGTTTTTGATCCACGGTACCTGTTGCTGAGTCCAGAGGAACGTAAACAGGTATGACATGAAGTTTTCACATCAGCCTCAATCAACCTCAAACATTAATACAACTTCATCACCTCTACACTTCCACAGGCGTACAGTAGTTTTAAAAGTACTAGTAGTTGGTGGTAAGACCTAAGGTTTTGCATTAACTGTATAAACTGTATCACATCATTGAGGATAATATTGAAAATGATTTGCACTATATATATTATGCAAGGAATAATTAGAAAATAATGCACATCCAAGCTGGTAATGCGGCCACGACATGAAGCGGATGTGTGCGATATTTTCTAGTAATTCAACGAGCCAGAGTCAATTATTATGCTTAAACTATGGTTACCACACCTCAAGGTATTGTTCAGATGTCAAGACATTTGTCAGTTTTTTTTTCCTTAAAAACGCTCTTGTGTGTGGGATTAAGAGAGAGAGAGAGAGAGAGAGAGAGAGAGAGAGAGATTAAGTGTGTGTGAATTACCTGAGTCTGTGACTGTAAGTTTATCTGCTTCAAGAACAGTGCCGTTATTACACCACTAGTGAGAAATGTCATGTAGCTTTTAAGTTGCTTGACTATTTTACTGATAAAATCATTAAACAGCACTAATGACACATTTCTGTTCGAGTGTGTATCTGTACTATAAGTGTGTGCGTTTGAGAGGCAGAAAAAGAGTATGTGCTTTCCATACATAATACAACTGTAATTTTGTGGCAAGAAACATGGAAATAATTTGTCACTTTTATCCTATTGTTTACTATATTTGCTTGGTCAGTGTCGTTGTGGGTTTTGGTTCTTTTGCTGTTGTTGGCTGTAAGGAACTTTGAAATAACTGAAATCAGTTGGCGAAGTGATATGAACCTGTAATGCGGTCAAGACCTGCCTGGAACTACTTTAGCCGTGCGTTTCCCTGAAAATAATTGCACACCTTAGAACGTTCGTCAACCAAGCAGAATCAAGCATTCAACAGCCCCGTAGTATAAATAAACATTACATTTATCTTCACATTTTTAAATATTTCATATTTTTTATTTATTTATTTTGCCAACAGATTTATGATCAGTTTGTCAAAGCAAGAATGAAAGAGGAGCACAAAGAGAAAAAATGCAAACTCCAGCAAGCCAAAGAAGAATACAGAAAACTGCTTGAGGAGTCAAAAATCACAACCAGGTGAGCTTATACAGTATATGAGATGAAATAAGTGTGACTGCTTTTGCTGATGCATTAATACAAAAAAAAACTTCTCTAGAGCGGATTATTCATTCAGCAAAAGTTTTAAATAACTGATGGTCGTGTGTTTGATTATAACCTTGTTTCTTGTTAAAGGTCTCTGACAAAACTGAATTCAAACATGCCACAGGGATTAGCTCTCGGCTTGAAGTTTGCCTCTTTGCAGGTTGAACAGAGGCTGGCTTTCGCTTTTACTCTATTCTTCACCCGATTCATTTATAATGAATGGAATGGAAGAGATGTGAATCCATACACTATTAACACATTCACATTCCCTGTCCTTGAAGCAAAACAATGAATTTTTTTTTAAGAAAAGATCATCTTAAATAATTAACTGCTGTGTAGAAATATGATATAGATCTATGTATATGTTTGCGTTAAACATTGCAAAATTGCAAGTTCTCACAAGGCAACAAAACATCTAGTTATTATCCAGAACACAAAACTATGTGCTTCGAAAACCCTAGCAATCGCCTAGAAAATTCTCTAATAACCACTTAGAATGCACTGGCAACCACTGTGTCCTTAGCAAATTATTTAATTAAAGATGTCAGATAGCAAATGCACCAAAATGAGTGGTTTCCTGGTAAAATTGTGCATTATTGCTGTATTTGCTCTGTGCAGGTTCATGTGTTTTCAGCTCTTTTCCAGACTTGAGACTCACGACTGTATAATCTCCTTCAAAGTCTAGCCATGAAAACCACCGCAATTGCAATTGAGGACCATCACACTGATGACATAAAACATTCGATGACTGTCAAGGATCTCATTTTGATGTTCTCTTTTGTAGGTCAACGTTTAAAGAGTTTTTGGACAAGTACGGAAAAGACCCTCGATTCAAACAGGTTCTGAAGAGGAAAGACCAGGAACTGTTTTTTACCCAGTTCATCAGCACATTGAAGAAGCGGGACAAGGAGAACCGAATGCGTCTGAGGAAGATGAGATGAGTGCTTGCGGACAGGGACGTGAAGTCTCCACACTACTGTGAACTGATTTCCTGTGACTGTTTATCACAGCGTAGACGGTGATACCATCTGCCCATATGTCTGACCAAATGCCAAGGGCAGTGTTGCTGTTTGCTTTTCAATGAATGACTTTCAAACAAAGGAACAAATACAAAACCAGCTGGGTCTAGGCAGCGGTTTGGGGATTAACTCTGTATATCTGAATGTGTTTCATATTGAAGCTCTTAATCTCCGGTTTGAGTAAAACAAGGTTCCTAAATCACAACACTGAACATGAATACAGAGTCTGACTCAATAGAAGCATCTAAAGCCATTGACCTGTGTGCACAGGTGGAAAATGATTTTTATAAAAATTGTAAATAGATGTTGATTTACTTGGCGCTGTGTTGAAAGTGACCGTAGAAGTGAAACCATTTGATCAGAGTAAAGGAACGTTTACACGACACCGTTTTCAGCTAAAACCGGAAAACTTGTATGCATTTTGGCTGTTCGTTTCTACGACAATGGTGTTTTGGTCAAAGTGTAAGATTTTGAAAACCATACGGTTGTCGTCTCTGTGTAAACTACAAAGACGTACATTTGTGAAACCGGTGACGTCATACGCATGCGTATTATGTGTTCAGTCTATAGGCGCGTATGTTTTTTTACAAACTGACATCGCCAACTACTGGCCTGGCATGAATAAGACAGTGTTTTTAGGCAGTTTCGCAGTCACACGGGGATCATTTTGACAACTTTGGAAAAACGTTTCCCTTTTTAGTACATCGTTGTCGTGTAAACGTACCATAAGACCAGATTCAGACAGCATCTGTGAGAAACAGTAAGTGGTGTTGTGTGTCGATAGAATTTTTCAAATGTTGTCTAACGGTTTGTTGTAATTAAATTTGTCATGGTATCGTAAAATGAAAGTGATGCTTTTTACAGAAAATTCATGTACAGCTCTGTGAAGCGTTGTAAATCTCAAGTCAGAGCAAGTGGATTCTGATTACAGAGAGAGATTTCATTGAAAGGACTGTAGATGTTTAGGCTGCATTCGATTCATGTAGCTATTTGCAAGTATGATTAAATCAATTATTTTATTTATTCTGGTTGAAATGCAATTTTACATTTTCTGTCAGCTTTTATACACACAAAAAATCATATTCAGGGCTTAACAATATGGATTTTTATTTTTCTTATGTTGACAATGCCAATGTTACCAGCTATTTTACTGCATTGATCTTTGTTTCAGAAAAAAATAACATTGTTTTACTTGCAAAATAACTTAAGATTATAATGTATAAAGACTTAATATATATGCCATTAATTCTTACAAATACTACACATTTTCACCACATTTAGACTTGTGCAAAGTCATTCTTGCAATTTCAACAAATAATTTATTTTAGCCAGATAGCATTACCTATGATAACAATGTTCATAACATCCCAGGAATTCAAATGTTTGTTTTCAAGACATTAAAACATATGTACATAATCTTTGGATTTAAGAAATGGCGACACAAATAAAATAAAAAATAAAAAAGGGAAAGTGACCTTTGCAAAACGTTCCAATGTCATCCTTATTGCTGGGACATGAAGATGTATGATATTATGTTGACATTTCAGTATAATTTTTATTTTATTTTTTTACTGTAATACTTCAGTTAGAGCTTTCAGTCTCCAAACATTTGATTTTATTGATAATTGTTTTTGTTGATATTCAAATAAATTACATATATTGTGGAAAGTTAAATAAAAAACAATTTCCAATTAAACATTTCTGAATATAATACACATGAATACACCTCACCTCAAGATACAATCGTCTTGGCCAGAAAACAAGTTATTCATGTCCAGTTTCCTAATTAACTTTGACATGCCAGAAGAAATGTCAGCTGAATAAATGTCCAGTTTCATTTTGTGTTCCTTGATGTTAGAATTCAGTGTGAGCAATTAAATGTTGATGGGAAATTTTCACTTGTTACTGTGGACATTTTGTCAGCAAGACACATACAAACAATTAACATTTCTCATGCATCAAGTTCAAAAATAAATCCGGGTGCACACTAAGATTTTGGGCACGATTTGGTCGTCAGATAAACGTTGTAAAACCTAAAAGTTTCCTCTGATCGTAGACCAAAATCTGAAGTCTTTGATCGCTAGTTTGACATGTTCGCCGACAGCCGCTCAATGACCATTGCAATCTAATTTTACCTCCAACGAAATTCTGGCAGTGTCAGAAATTTTGAGGCGCAGTCTTGCAGTGTGACTTTTACAACAAATGTCGAATCAAGAACCAATCAGGAGCGCAGAACCTGATGACGCAATTTGTGAGACAACAACAAAGCACCACTTGGTCCACACACACAAACATCTTCATTTTTTCCAGTTGTCTTTTCAAGAGAAACAACGATTAAATGAATGCTAGAGATTTTTTGTGTTTGCTAGCCACCATTTCTAACCCACACATAAATGCAGCTCACAGTCAATGAACGTGTCACGGATTGATGATGTAAAACTCTGAATGAGTTACTTACCAGGATCATGTTCTTACTGTCTGACAAGCAACAGTTGTAAAATGTACAGTGTGCACACAGCTGTAGATAATAAAGCTTTTGTATATAAACTTTGGGTGATGATTCTTAGATTCATGTTGTTTGGATTGACATTTTCGACATGTTCTTTGGGAATCACTGAAGCTCTTTGGTGTAATGTGGTGGCCTGTTTTCAGCGGCATTGCCTACAAACACAACAAAGACTGTATTTCATCACAAGCACCCTCATTATTTCAACACCAGAGACAATTGAGACAAGAAAACCCTGAATATTTAATGAATGTGATACTAAGGCTGGAAATAAACCTGATTTTTTTTTTTTACCCATAGCCCAATGATTATTTGAAACCCTTTTCACACAGCCATGCACTGATGCTGGAGAAGTATTTTTCAGATGTACTCAGTCCTTGGATCGATAGGGTCAAGGGAACCATGTTCTATAGTGAAGGGACCAATGACGTCTGCAGCTTTCCAGATAATACAGCAAAAATAGCCAGCATGGTACAAGTCATGACTTTTTAACAATGAAATAGAGTGGGCACCTATGTATGTTTGAAAAACAGTGACCAGTTATGGGGATATTTCACTCACAAATGAAAATTCTGTCAAACCTGCATGACTTCAGAAGACTACTTGTATGGCATATTATGCAGCTTCACAGCTGTGGCCACTATGAAAAAGAGCTTTTTGTTGATTCTTTAGAAATTAAATTTTGGGATTGGGATTAATAACCTGGAAGAAAACCACAATGGTTTACACTTGTTTTTCGCTTCAATCAAAGTTTGAAGGAAGAAGCGAGACAATTTTCGAAAACACTGACAGTGGGAATTGAAACAAATAGATTAAATGATTTTTTTTCAGTTGTCCTATAATAAAACAGCAAATACCACGATAACTATTAAAGCACAACACTTAGTATAGCACTTCTACAGCAGAGGGACACCTTTTTCACTCCCTGCAGAAATAACAATAAGCCACAGCTATTTTAACACCTTTAGCATAGTTGTCTCTCTTAAATTAGTCTAATTAACACTAGCATTTAAGATTGGTTTCTGAAGGATCATGTGACACTGAAGACTGGAGTAATGATGCTGAACATTTAGCTTTGCATCACAGGAATAAATGCAGTGTCAAAACTAAAAAGGGCCTTTAATCTTAATGTAGGCTTCATTTCTTTCTTCAAAATATTTAGTCCTGTTCAAATATTACCAATCATCAATACTTGAAGTACATCAGAAAATGATATCCTCTCTCAAATTGTGTTAAATTAAAAAGTGTCAACTCCATGAGAAAATTCCACTTGTATATTCTTCCACCATATAAATGTATTTGCCCTCTGACTTATCTCCTCTCACAGCACGTACAACAGTGGAGCCGTCCACACATCGGGAATGATGGAGAATTTGGCAACTGGCATTGAGGCCCAGCGCTCGTTTACTGGGTGACGGAACCGGAGTGTGTTCAGGCCGTCAGTAGTGCTGCATTCCCTCTGTGCCTCACACAGGCTGATTGAACAGACTCACTGGTGAGGAAAAGTCAACAGCCCTTCTCCATCAGTGTCAACTCAATGAAACACAGCTATAAATAAGCACAGGGACGGCAGACAGTGCGCTGGCAAACTGTTTTATGGGGGAGTAAACTCCATTATGGCTCTACGGGACATCCATAGTCTCTGGCTTCATTCCAAGTGTGCGTCTACTCCTATCCATTATTGAAACCGCAGGTGACTGTGGTGCAGGATCAGGGAGGAAAGCTCAGGGTGAGGGGGAGAGATCACTATATAGTACCTGACCTGACTGGAAGGGCATGGTTGCAGATGGTTAAGACATGCACAAGTTTTTCACTCTACAGTATGTTCCAAGAAAAGACTGAAAAAGAATTGAAATCATGGTTCACCTTCAGTGTGCTGTTAACTTAAAGTGCCCATATGCTATTTTAAAGGTTCCTAATTTTGTTTTGTACGTCTCCTACAAAATATTTACATGCATCAAAGGTCAAAGGTCACTTTAATTTTCTCATAATATACACTGTACATTACTTCATTTACAGAGTCTGAAACGGTTCTTTCAAAGATTCAGTCTCTCTTAACACCTCCTTTCCGAGAGCTTACTCAGCTCTGATTGGTCAGATGGCACAGTCTGTTGTGATTGGTTTACCGCTTACAGCGCGAGTCGGAAACGAAACGCCCATTACCAAATATGAATTTCAGCTCCGGAAGCTTCATCAGCTCTTGATTCACAGTGATACGAACAGTTGCGATGACATCGGTTTTACCATATTAATTCCAGAGCGAGTCCTTATACTTTTTAATTGCATGCAAAGTGGATTTGGAATGCTGAAAACAGCACAAAACCAAACTCTTCTAGTCTCAGCTAAAACTACAGTGTTTGAGGGCGGGAAAAAGTAGACGTTGTTAGCGGGCAGTAAATGAAGGCCATGCGAACAGGAAGCGAGACTGGAATCGATTCTTTATTTTAGGAAACGATAACTTTTTTTTTACAAAGAGACTTACAAATGAGGAGAGCAATAGAAGCTAATCAAACAAACAGTAGGGCAACAATATGCAAGTGCCGTGACCTGTCCCAGTTAGTTCAGCACAGTACACATAGCAAGTTTTAAAAAAATATAAATATATAATAGTAAGTGTTAATATTAATGGGTCAAGTGTTGCCGAAAAAGATGCGTCTCTAGCAGTTTCTTGAAAATGCCAAAAGATTCGGGTTGGGATGAGCAGGTCATTCCACAAGCTTGGAACAGTCAAGGTAAAGGTCTGTGAAAGTGATTTTGTGCCTCTTTGGGATGGCACCACAAGGCACCGTTCACTTGCAGAATGCAAGCTTCTGGAGGGCACATAGATCTGAAGTAGAGAGTTTAGGTATAGGGGTGCAGAGCCAGTGGTTGTTCTGTAGGCAAACATCAGTGCCTTAAATTTGATGAAAGCAGCGATTGGCAACCAGTGCAATTTTATGGAATTTTAAGGAGGGGTGTGACGTGCGCTCTCTTCTGCTTTTTAAAGACAACTCTTGCTGCAGCATTCTGGATCAGTTGCAGAGGTTTGACTATGCATGCTGGAAGGCCTGCCAAGAGAGCATTACAATAGTCCAGTCTGTATAGAACAAGAGCTTGAACAAGGAGTTGTGTAACATACT